CAGCTTTTCTTATTGCTCTCTTTCTAATTCTTTAAGTGTAGGGTTAGATAATTTATTACCATTTTTTCTTGTTTTTTTGAGGTACGCCTATAGTGCTCTGAACTTCCCTCTCAGAACTGCTTTCACTCTGTCCCATAGATTTCGGATTGTTGTGTTTTCATTGTCATTTGTTTCCAAGATGCTCTTTACTTCATCTTTGATCTCTTTGGTAACCCAATTATTGTTTAATAGCATGCTATTAAGCCCCCAAGTGCTTGATTTTTTTATTGTGTTGATTGTAGTTGATTTCTAATTTTATGCCATCATGATCTGAGAAGATGCTTGATATGATTTCAATCTTCTTGAATTTAAAGAGACATTACCTGTGTCCCATTATGTCATCTGTCTTTGAAAAATGTCCCATGTGCATTGAGAAGAATGTATATCTTGAGGCTTTGGGGTGAAATGTTCTGAAGATGTCAATTAGTTCCATCTGATCTAGTGAGTCATTCAGGATTGCTGTTTCTTTGCTAATTGTTTGTTTAGAGTATTTATCCAGTGGTGTCAATGGGGTATTAAAGTCCCCTACTATGACTGTATTGCTGTCGATCTCTCCCTTCATATCTTCCAGAAGGTTTTTTTTATGTATTTGCATGCTCCTGTATTGGATGCATATACCTTTAGCAGTTATATCCTCTTGTTGAATTGCTCCCTTTAGTATTATGAAGTGGCCTTCCTTATCTCTTGTTCTGGCCTTCACTTTGAAGTCTATTTTGTCAGATATAAGTATTGCTACCCATGGCTTTTTTCATTTCCATTTGCCTGAAACATATTTTTCCATCCCTTCACTGTCAGGCTGTATGAGTCCTTTGTTCTGAGGTGGGTTTCTTGTATACGGCATATATATGGCTCATGTTTTCTTTTCCATTCAGTCACCTGATGTCCTGGGCATCTTTGCCCTTGTTGGCCCCTTCCTCAGTAAAACATATTTAAAATTATATTTTATGACCATGATGATATAAAGACATTCATTTATGAACAGATATATCATTGTATGCTTATTATCTTCATTTTTATCTTCACATTTAAAAAGTATTAAAATCGCTTTCATTTTTAGGGACCACTGTAAGTGTTATTGTCACTGTTCCTCCTGTAATCAACAGATAAGAGCCTTGACTGTAAGAGTTTTCTTTCTAATTTGTTTTGCCTTTGGGCATTTCTCTTCTCCTCCACTTCCCAATCATCTCATCACTTTTTCAGTGGTGATAATGTGTACTTTGATTTCTCCACCCAGATTCCAAATCTCTTTTTATAAATTTTCTAAGAAAATGTCCTTTTTTCAGCAGGCAACCTTTTAATATCTCTCTTAGAGTAGTCGGCCTGGTATACATTTATCTTCTTCTCAAGCAGAGCCAGGCTTGATCAGAGCGCTTCTACTGAATTGAAAGAGTGCAGTTTGATATGACCCAGACTTTTGAATGATAGCAGTGCTAATATGCTCCTCATCCTATTATCTAGCACAAATGAAAAGCCTGCTCTTTCTCCTGCAGTCCCGAAAAAAATTTTAAAATACATACGAGTAGTAATCTTTTCTTACATTAAAAGAGGGCACATCAGGAAATCTAGTAATTTTGGAAAACATTAACTTGTCTTGCCTTTTTCAAGTTCTAAGACCAATGAACATGGAAGCTGAGCATTATTACATGAAAAGTTTGGACCAGTCAGTGCAACATCTCTGTTTTCAGAACCTGTATGTGCTGTGCTGGGCCTTAAGCACCGGGGATGTACAAATCATGAGCAAAGCATTATTTCTACTCTTGAGGAACTTAAAGTCTACATGAGAAAATAAATATAGCAATAAATAATATAAATGAAACTTGTTAAATTCTATGATAGAAAACACATAAGGAATGAGTATTATGTGAGCAAAGGACGCTTCAGGGACTATCCCCAAGTATGTTTTCACTTCACATGAGGGTTATCATACACCAACATCCACATCAATGTACCTTGAGGTATATATTTGTAGGTAGAGTATATTTCTCTATCCTGTTATCAGATTTGGCTGTTTGACTTGCGTTGCCCAGTGAGATATAAGCAGAAGGAAGACTGTGCTAATCACAGCCCAAGCTTTAACATGAACTGATTGTTGTAGCATTGTCTTTTGCAGCTCTTCCCTTTGAACATTGCACATCCTAGACAGAGACAATTCCTTCTTCTTGTATCTTAGCATAAGAATATATGTGCACTCAAACAGTAGTATAAGCAGGCTGAACTGCAACAATACTGGTCCACACATCCATGAGCAAAAAAACAAATGCTTTTTGGGGGGTAAAATATTGAGATTTTAAAATTATTATTACACAAAAGACTGACAAGACAAATAAGTTAGGCCATCATAGTTTATCACAGATTTTCTATATCACCATCCATACATCTGGATCTTAGAAGCAGAAAGTATACTACTTGACTGGCTACTTAGAAGCAGAAAGTATACAAACTTTTCATGTAATAATGCTCAAATCATTAATACAATTACTTGGAAAACAGAATAACAACAAAAATCCATGATGGTTTACCATGATTTTTAAAAAAGATATAGAAGATCATATCATTAAAATATACAAATAAAATCTGATTTTGTGAGTTTCTTGTGGAATTTGTACACTCATTCATTTCTGATAGCACTGTAATTGGCCCCCCCCAAGTCTTCAGGAAAGTAACTGCGTGAACTGTAAAAATGTTTTTGTTTTGGTCCAATAATACTATTCCTGAAAATATATTTTTAAGAAAATGTTTTTTAATAAGATAAAAGTATCCCATTGGTTATCTATATTGGCATACAGTTAAAAAATTATGCACAACTATAGAGGTTTTAGGTAAATTATGGCAAATCAGTTTTATGGAATGTTATGAAAGTTGCCCTCATGAGCACCTTATAGCAATTGGGCAAAGATTTATAAAATAATGTTAAGGGAAAAGAACAGACTAACTTGGAATACACACTGCAGGGTGGGGGCAAAAGTAGGTTTACTGTTGTGAATATGCAAAACAGAGTTTATCCTTGCATTATTATTTATTAATTATTGTATTTCCCATATGAACAACTGTAAGCCTACTTTTGCCCAACCCTGTATAATTATAATTCTGTAAAACATGTAATATATAAACTAAAATGAATATTGGAAGAAGTCCTTGATATCCCAGCACCCTAATCGAACTAATATCAATACCTTCTCTTTTTTAATGTATTTTATTTTTAGAACAGTTTTAGATTCAAAGCAAAAGTGAGAGGAAAGTACAGAGACTTCCCATATACTCTCTGCCCCCACACATGCATAGCTTATCCCACTATCAACATTCCTTCCCAGATGGTACATTTGTTACCGTGATGAATCTGCATTGACACATAATCACCTAAGATAGATGGGAACCACTGATCTGCTTATTGTCTCCAAAGTTTTGTTTCTTGATGTGTCTTGAAATGGGACTGAAAAAGACAAAACCAACTACAATGGCAAACACACAACACTGTGCCAGCAATCCTCCTATAGTCATGTGTTTGGTCTCTCATGCCAAAAATTCTCCAAAATTTTGGTGTAAATATATGTCTAATTTACAAAATTGGCTGTGCTTATTCTAATCAGAAGCCTTGACCAAAGTATTTTTGAACTGGAATTATATTTTAAAAGACAGAGAACCAAACTAAAAACTATAATATATTTGATGCAATTAAAACAATTAAGAAGATTTAGCCTGGAGAAGAGATTTAAGGAGGTGAAAGATTATTCTATGAGTAAATGAAAACTTTAATTATTCTATGTGAAAGAATAGGCAGAAATATAAACAATGGGTAGAAATTAGGGAAAAAAATCTTTCAAACTCATAAAAGGGAAAGGCTGAATAATTGTTCCAGGTTGAAATAAAATAAAGGTAAATGTAATGTTTAATCCTGGAATAGATCCTGCACCAGAAAGAAAAGACGGTTGATACAGGGCGGAAAGTTCTGGGGAAATCTGAGGATTAGATAGTATTGCTGCATCGATGGTTATTTCCTTTATGAATAGTTGAGTGATGGTAACATTGCAGAGCATCCTTGTTCTTAGGAAATATACACTGGAGAATTTGTGGGTGATGGCACAGCATGTCTGAAGCTTGTTCTTGAATGGTTCTGAAAAAGATTAATAAGATACTAGTAGATAGAAAACAACTGTGGCAAAATGTTAGGAATTCAGAAAATCTTGGTGAAAGTTATAGATGTTACAACTTTCATGTAATCTTGAAATTATTGTAACCAATTATATAAAAATTAAACTTCAGAAAGAGTCAGGAACATTTCGTTATGAGGAATTAAACTTATGTTGTCTCAGTTTGATAGTCCCCCCATGCCTCTGGCAGAACCAAATCAAACCCTCTCTAGATTAAAGAACCTTCATCCAAGTTCCTCAAGAGTCTCCAAGGTCAAGTTCAAATAATTATGATCTTGCAATAAAAATTTACCAAATACACAAATAAGTAATTCACCAATAATAAAAAACAAGAAATTTTGAACTCTCAAGACGTTAGCTATTGAGATTTTTGGACGAAGCATATAAAACTATATTTAATTCATTTAAAGAAATAAAATTTAGAATTCCGCAC